TTGTAGTGAGTGGCCAAATTGATCAAAATTTTGAAAGTTTGTGTATAAAATTGATATTAATCGAAGTCTGGGGATCAAATTGAAAAAGGGGTAAAAATTTGAGGGGCGAAATGATATTTTCTCTTAAAATTTGGCAACATTTGTCCTGCACTTGATATTTAACAGAATTTATAGCCCATTGATCAGAACTCTTGCACCGTACAAAGAGGTCAAAAGTTCAATACCTCTTACTTGCGCGAGGGTCCTATTCACCTCGCAGTCATTTTGGGTATCTCTTTCTTTCTTTGGGAGTTTATTTGTAGTTCTTTATGTTATAATTATTAATTCAAACTACTTCAACGTTTTGAGAAAAAATGTAATTAAAAAAGGGCACTACAACAAAAAAAAGGTTTTTACGGCATGCAATGCACACTGTAAAACTCTTCTACGACGTGCAGCGCGCGTCATATTATGACTAGTCATGGAAAGTCATTTATTTTCAATGACATGCTTCGTACGCTGTAACAAGCCCGCGGGGGACCTCGCTACAGCTCGGACTCGACTTTCGTCAGTCACGGTTCTAAGTCTGAACCAAAGAGTCCAAATCCGGCAAATCGTTTTGAGAAAAACAGATTTTTGAAAAAAGTGCCAAACATGGACTGCTTTGCCAGATACAGAGTCGCCACCTAAATGTTTTTTATAGGAAATTTAGGAAACCCTGACTCGGTGCCAAAGGCCACGTGTCCGTCATCACCAAAGTTGCCTCGGCTCGGGAACTTGGGTACGATTGGGGAAGGTCACTTCGTGAGCACTCCCGCTCGCCCGGTCAAAGATCGGCCTCTACTAACCATGATATCTATTTTTGAAAACATTATGCGTTCTTATTTTCCGGTTATTAGCCTAGATTACTATGTGATCGCGCAAGCATCCAAGTATAGACTGGCACCCGAATTGGAACAAAACATTTTCATGCTTGTTATTTGAAAGATGGTATTTGCTACTCGCAAGTAGGCTAAATGCAGTTTTGCCACCCTCAGGTGGGCTTAAGAAAAATGCGTTTGCCATTATCTAGTGGGCTTAAAACAAACACAGTTGATAGATTTATTCCAAATCCAAGTAACCCAACCTCACCCACAGGCATTCAGCAGTTTAATTCACATAAGCAATTAGCCTCATGGTAAGCATGCTATTCATGGCATTCACTCACACGCATGCAAGGATGCTAAAGCATAAAAACTCACCGGGTACTCCAAGCCAAAACAGAATTTACATTAGAAATCATGCATGATCTTAAGTATACAGAAATGCCTAATGCAACACATGCAAAAAATGCAAACTATAGCAGGCTCGGCTTTTCTAAGATGGCATATGAAATGTACAACTATCATGTATTCAATTTGGAATTGAAAATACAATGCAGTTAGTATGATGCGCCGAGCCCGGTGCATGCAAAACAGATGAATGAATGCAAACATGCTATCATACTGTATGCTAATTGAAATATGCCCTAATCTAACCATCATAAGCAGGTAAATAAAAGGGAAGAAAGACGTGGGGTTGGAAGACATACAACACACTCACGCACACTTATTACAGTTATGCCCTCGCGTAGAGGGTCCGAATAAATATACAGTCCCGAATAAAAGAATATTACAGTCCAAAAATTACAGTCCGAATAATATACAAATTCCTAATTAATTAATGAATTAACTAAGAAAGCAAGTAAAACTGGCGTGCAAGCCAGGGACCGCCTTGCTTCTGACGGATGACGCATGTCCGGGTTGCCTTGCGCGGAAATCCACCGGGATGCCCCAATTAGCCTCTATTTTACAATTATTCTTGAAAAGCGTGCCAAGTCCCGGAAAGTTGCTGATTCCTGATTTTGCTGCAACAGAGAGCAGGAAAGGGGCATAGTAGTGTATTTTCACAAATATATGCATACCTCGATCCTCGTGCCACCAATCACGCATACCGAGGCATGATGGCCGAGGAGTCGAAATGCACAATTCAATATAGGATGAATGCACATAAAAACACAATAAAACCTAACTCCATCATGGATGATCCGGAGTGTCGGTGACTGGGAAATTGAGACACATTCCGTCACTCGGAGTACGAAATGCACCTCGTTTCCCGTGCCCGGGCTAACTCCTATCCCGAACACGATGCAATATGCATGACATGCAACTATGATGCAATCCTAACATACATCATGCTATGAAAGTGAGATGCCTCGAAATGCGTGCACACGGGCACGTAAATCGAGAAATGACAGAATGCAATCTAAGATACAACCTAGTATGCACTATGCTGTGAAAATGAGATGCCTCGAAATGCGTGCACACGGGCACGCAAACCAAGAAAATGACATAATGCAATCTAAGATACAACCTGGTATGCACTATGCTGTGAAAATGAGATGCCTCGAAATGCGTGCACACAGGCACGCAAATCGAGGCGATGGTATATGCAATGCAAGTGATTAAAATGGCATGGAAAATGCAACATGGGCTTATACTAACATGAGAGAGCCTCAGCCACACTCACATAAGAGGCCGGTAGATGAAAATGAGGCACCTCGAAATGCGTGCACACGGGCACGCAAACCGAGGCGATGATAGAATGCGATGCAATGACATGAAAACATGATATGGGCTTATACCAACATGAGTGAGCCTCAGCCACACTCACATAGGATGCCAATGGATGAAAATAAATTGCCTCGAAATGCGTGCGCACGGGCACGCAAACCGAGACGATGGCATACGCAATGCAAATGACATAGGAATGGAAATCAATCATTCTAATAGAATTTCAGCAAGAAAATATGGGGGAAAACAGTCCCGAAATGAGGCGAAATGACACCAAATGCATGGAATTGTCCCGAAATGCGAATTTAGGCACCCGAAATGGCCTATAGCTATGCCAAACATGCACAACATGGACATGCAATGCAAAGACAGAAGCTAGACAGTCCCAAAAGATGCACTTTCACAGTTGTAAACATGGCCAAACAGCAAGCATTCATTGTTTAAAAATGGCATGCAAGAATAGGGGCCAAGAGAGGGGTAATGAAGCAAGTGATATAAGCAAAATCCAAACTGAAAAATTTCCTTCTATAACGTTGAAGAGGGACCAAAAATATGAATGTTTACAGTATATGGCAAACCTCAAATCAATATACAAACATGCTAAAAAAAAGAGCACAAGATTGAGGCTCAAAAGGTGCTATAACATGAAGTATACAAAATAATCACCAAACAGAAAAAAAATGTTAATGAAACATGAAGTATAGGCCAAAATAAGACTATTTACAGAACTGTAAAATGGCCAAAAACAAAAGCAAAGGGGGCTGCCGATTTATGCAAAAATGGGGCCAAATAAGGGATATAACTACAAGTGGCACATGGAGGAATCAAATGGTGAGGGGCCCTTCAACAATGTTGAAGAAGGGTCCAAAATAAGCATATTCACAGATTACATCATTCTCAAAAACAGATTACTCATGGGCCAAAAATAGCATGCAAGATTATGACATATAAGAGGATCAATGAAGCAAGTGCATCATGGAGGGCTCAAACAGGGTTGAGCCCTTAATGAAAAGTGAAGATGAGCTCAAAAGAGGGCCACTTTCAGTTAGGGCCGGAGCTTGAAACAAAAAGCATATAGGGCTTATAAATGGATCAAGAAAAAGGGTCAAAAGAGGAGAAATGTCACTCACCCTTGAAGACTAAAGCTTTTGTTGCTTCTTGGACCAATTTGCAGCTCCTTTAGCCTTTGAGAAGCTCTCCTTGTTGCTGGAAATGAAGTGGTGATGGTAGAGCTTGGTGGTGATGAAGAAAACAAGGTGTAGGACTTAAGGTTTTTTAGGGAAATGAGAAGGATGGAGGGAGATATGGATCTTGAGGCTTGAAGAACAAATTTTCTAACCCCTATATGTGATGCCACCAGCTGGTTATAAGGGCAAAAAAGGGGGTGTAAATGTGGGGGAAAAGGAGGGCAACTTTCCCCCAAGAAATATCCCCCGGATTGGGATATTTTCTGGGGGAAACAGCTGCACAGCTGTAAAGCACCAAGCATGAGGAACATGGCCGGCCAGTTACTTTTGCTGCAGGTGGCCGGCCGACCACACCCCCTAGCCGGCCGGCTAGGGGTCAAAAGGGTCAAGCAGATTTAGTGGCCGGCCACCATTTTTTAGGGTCCTCCCATGTGTGTACATCACAAATATGTGGTTTGGGTTTGAAGAATGTGGGTCCAAGAGGTTCAACATTAGCCCGGAAAGAGGGGTTCAAAAGGGTCAAATTGAATTAATGGCCGGCCACCACTTTTTAGGATCCTCCCAAGTGTGTACATTACAAATATGTGGTTGAAAGTTCAAGAAGATGGCCCCAAGGTGTTCAACATTAGCCCGGAAGTGCGAAAAACGGGCGCCGGAGGGCGTCGGAGGATGTATAACTGGTTGCTGCAACAATTGCTGGCCTCCCACCCTTTAGTGACCTCCCCGGTGATAAAACAGAGGTACCTTCCAAAAATGAACGAAAACCGTTGCAAAACGAATGCTCGGGGACCAAAACGCGCAGTTCGAGATCCCGAAAGTGGCATTCGGCCACGAAGTGGGTCCCCAGTGTCCCTCAAAAGGGAGAAAATAGGAAGTATGCCAAAAATCAGAGCAAACGGAGATGGTTAGGCGGTCCCAAACTGAGGCACACGGCCAACGATCCCGAAAAATCGGAAATCGGACTCCGAAATGGGCAAAATGGCCTGCGGCCACAAAATGTAGCCCACGGCCATTGAGAGATGGTCTACGGGACCTCTCCCTCCCCTCAGGAAAAGAAACAAAGAAAACCGAGCCTGGTTCGCAAACCGAGGCAAAGCACAGAAGAGGGTTCGGAAATTCGGAGGCAGGGCTCACGGCCGCGACTCTGAAACTTCTGAACGAGCGCGATATGCAACATCACCAAGCGCTCAATCGGTGACGTCTGAGTCTTAAGGTCGGTCAAAAATGGGGTGTCTACATACGCCGTTAAAAACTATTTAACACAATTTGACTCCTTGTCTTTTTTCAACTTGTTCATCAGGATCCACTTCCTTGAAAATTTGTCATATCCGCGAGAGACCATTTGCGTACTTCTTCTCCTGCTAGTCCTTTCCGTCATCTACATATAAGAGTTTTAAAATTTAATTTTTTTTTATCTTTAAAAATATAATTTTTGTTCTACAAAATATTTAAGGACTAATTTCAATTATCGCGAGGACAAGTGCAAAAAGTCATCTTGAAAAGTAAAAAAATGAGTTTTTAGGAACAAACTTTTAAAAATATCGCTAATAAATACATTTTTAGGGAAAAAATAATTTGTTCTCAAAGATTTATTTTTTGAGACAAAACTTTTGGTTTTAAAAGGCTAATAATTCATTACTAAATGTCTAATTTTATCACTAAAAATAAAATAGTAACACTTTCTGTAATAAAAAAATTTTGTCCCTAAAAAGTAATATTGTTCCTAATTTTTTTTGTCTCAAATCATAATTTCTTGTTGTGATAACATCCGTAATATACCTGAAACAAAAACTGTAATATACCTGAAACAAATACGGAGAATGCGTATCCAATGCATCGACTCACTATCCGATATAACAACAGGCAACAACGAACGGCAGGTGAGGAGTAGATACATCATGTAATTTGATAGAGTTTTGCATGTTTCCTTTTCATCATGATGTGCACATGAGTAAGCACTATTTTCGGAAGTGCCTGTAACCGACTCTAAATCTGACTCTGACTTACTAGTATCATTAGAAAAACGGTATAATATATATGTTATGAGGTGCATAATAATAATTTGGTCATGAAAAGCTATAGAGCCAAAGAACCCCTCAAGACTCCCAAGGTCAATTGAGTTGTCGGCGGCATGATAAATAAATTGTATAATCATAGGATATAGCATCCGAGGGATACTATGCATGTACCTATTGAACAAGTCTTGAATCCCCAACCTCCCAAGTATTCTACTCCATTTTGGACGCTTGTCTTCCTCTTCGAATAGATCGATTTGCCCCATCTTTTTAGACCACTTCTTCTTTTCAAAAAACCAAGGAAATTTCTACCACAATCGGATTGCCCATTTGCCTTTGCCGCACTTAATTAGCCAAATCATCGCCAAATCAGAGAATAATAACAAAATTATTGCATAAATCTCCAAAGCTAGAGCTCCGACCAATAATACCCCTGTGATGACAATATCAACCATGGAGTAGTGCTGCTCGTGCCACTTCACTTCATGGCGATAAGCCGGAAGAGTCCTACCAACACAGACACCGTACACATGAAGCTGATAGAGCGAAAAATGCACCCTCTCTTGGTAAATGTTATGGCTACTTTTGTGTATAATAAATCATACATTAGCCCCATTTCAACCTCCAATACATCCCCCAAACATGTATCATCATCCCGATTCATTTCAGCCAGAAATTTTGGTTCTTCAGATGTCCTATGCGGTACTTCGAAACTAAATCTACCAATGTCATAATTCTCTATATAACGTTTAAATTTCTTCACCATCATGTGGGCCATAATTAAAACATTTTTATATCTATCCTTGTCTTTCATAGAGCCAGCCATTAGATAATAAAAGGGTACAATGTATCCAAATTTATCATGGCATGCTAACGTAAGAGCCCATGTTCTCTCCCCATACTTAATAATTCCAGCCACGAATGCCGGAATCAACATAAATGAAAACCAGAAATGCCTCCAAGACATAACAATGACATAAATTGCCACATTAGCTTGAACACCCATGCCCAAAAGATGCCTTATCCACAATTGATTATCTTCCAAAGAATAAGCAGTTATGGTGTCTGGGCCACCAAGATGCAATAAAAGCAAAGGTGCCCATAATGCCTGTAATGCATTATTGGGATTAGGAATATTAGTTTGGGCATAAGAGAGCTTGCCAAGGGCAACAGTTGCCACCCAATCGGCCATTCTGTAGGCCAACCTGACAATCGCATTAATCCATTGTGATGACATATTCTTTCAACGTTTGCCAAAGACAAAAAGAATGATTTGTAAAGTGAAACTAAGTAGAACCAGCATCCGAACATCCCACACATCCCATAGTATTTTCCACGATGCTGGAATCAGATTCATCACACCCTTCTCTTCTTTATCTACATGGAGAGAAAATTAAGTTACTATAAGTAAACATAGATGGATAAATATGAATTGAACATTGTTATCCAACCTAAAAAATTAGACACACTTTTTTAAATTCAATGATGTGGCACTTAATTAGAATATCTAAAATAACATTCTCTCCTATATCTTCTCTATCATCAACCAATTATCTCAGTTACATATCATTGGGTCTAAAAAGTGAGATTGTATATCATTTTCCATCATGGTAACACATTGTAATTGAGAATGAATATTCAAAAATTTCTACAATGCAACTCTCTTTTTTTTTTTTATTGTGCACCATATGCAAGTTATGACAATTTATGATGTCAATAGAACTACAAAGTGTCTTAATCAAACCACTTTCAGTCAAAACTAAAGAAATCAAAATGGGTCATAACTAAATACCATAATGAATTATAATTAACACCACAATGAATCATAGTCAACATTAAAATGAGTCATAATCAAACGCTACTTGCATCATAACTAAAGACTTTTTTAATCATAACCAAAACAACAATCACAATTATAAAAAAAAAAATTAAAAAAAAAAACACACAATAATCACTAACTTTTGCAGATAAAAAAAATAATAACCATAATAAATCATAACAAAGTCCTAACCGATACCCTAATAGGTCAAAACCAATATTACAATCGATTATAACCAAACATCACAAAAGTCGTAACTACGCATATGATACACTCCAAGGGTGTAAATTTGGCCTGGACTTGGCCCGGCCCATGTTAGGCCTCATGAGCTCCCGCCAAAATTCGGGTCAAGTCAAAAAATTAGGCCTAGGCTTAGGGGGTATTCGGGCCTTGGGCGGCCTGGGCATAGGGGCTCGAGCTTGGGCGGGCCTGAACATTTTTTTTTATTTTTTTATTTTTTCTACCAAAATTCTATTATTTTCCACCAAAAAAGACACTGGGCCTTGGGCGGGCCAGAAGGATCGGGCCTTGAGTGGCCCTTAAGCAGGCCTATGGGTTTGTCCACGGGTCAGGCCAGGCAGGGCGGGCTTCAAAATGATGACCTAGGCCCAAGTCCAAGGTCTCGGGCTAGGCTCAAGCCCGGGCCTAAATGGGCCGAGCTCACCCTGGGCCGTAGACGTGGCTTCAGGCCGCCCACAGACTACGGGCCATTTGTATACTTCTTTTTTTGAGGTGTGTTTTCATAGAATTTCCCATTAAAGTGAAGAGAAACGTTATAAACTCATAATTTATGTCTCTCAATTTACTCACAAAGGCATAATAAGAGAATTGGACCTCTTATATGATTGAGTTTGTAATATATTAAAATTGACACATAATCCACCAACTCATTGTGAGACTTAAATTATGAATCTTAATCTTTTTTTCTAAAATGTCCTAATTAGTGTTTTTAACTTTCCTTTCTAAAAATAATGTGCACCGTCTTTCACTGACAATTAATAATGATTAAAAAGAGAGCATGTCATAATTTTTTTATTTTCATCCAAAACACTAATAGATGTAACATAGATATGGTCAGAATTTTTTTTTGACTTTCACAAATTTTTAAATTACGAAAAAAGAAGAAGATAGGCCAATAGTTTTATATCATCTATATTTTATGACACGCATTTTAAAATTTTAAAAATAAAATATTGCAGTCTTGGATATTGTTAAAAGACATAGTTAAAATCATATGTATTTTTAAGCACAACACATTTATTTTTTTATGTGACAAAAAAATATGCACAGCACACGTATTTTTTGTTTTAATTTCTCTTTGATTAACAAATCTCTCTCTTTCTCTAAAAAACCTCTCTCTCTAAAAACCTCCACCCCAGGCCTCGTTGTTGGCCAACCGGCCGCCGCCTTCGGCAATGGCGGTCGGCTAGCCTCGCCTCCTTTGTGCACGGTCGTTGTTTCCTTTTTAATAAACTTGAATCCCCACAGTTTTCCATTTCTTTTTCTAGTCTATTAGGTGTTCGGGGTTGTTTCAGCCTTGGGGTGGGCTCAGTCTTGGTGTTCGGCGATCTTTAGAGTGTGGTGCTGTTCTTGGGGGAGTTCGATGGAGTTGGATCTTGGGTCTTTCAGCCATGGGTTTTCTTTGGTGGGAGTCGGTGTTTCGGCTTGTGGAGGAGGTATTTTCGACCTTGGGTGTGAGTGTTTGGCCAAAGGAGAAGGCTGGTGGAAGGGCCTGGCGTGGGTGAAGGCTGGCGGAGGGTCTGGTGTGAGTGTTTGGCAAAGGAGTGCATGGAGTAGGCTGGTGGAAAGGTCAAATGCAGACGAGCAAGGAGTGCATGGAGTTTTCCGGTGTTGGCTATGGAGTTTTTCGGCCGTGTGTGAAGGCTGATGGAGATGCCTGGCACGGGAGACGGCTGGGTGAAGCCCGATGGAGTTGTCTGGTGTGGGAGAAGGCTGGTGGAAGGAGTGCATGCGTCTTGGGTAGTGCAGCAGGCTGATGGAAGGAGTGCATGCGTCTTAGGCAGTGCAGCAGTTTTTGTTTTAAATATTTGGGTTGTTTAGAGGTGTGCAGGTGTTTGGGTTTTTTGTGGGTTGTTTTTGTGAGGATTCATGTATTTTATTTTCTAGTTAAGTCCTTTTTAACTTTTTTGTTTTAAAAAAAAAAAAATTCGTGAGGCCAAGGGGTTGGTTGTATGGTTGCAAGTAGCAGTAGTAGAGGTATTTTGTACTTTCCGAATCTCTCTCGATGCATGTCATCTTCCTGTACCTTTAATTTCATGCTGTTAATGAAATTTTTTTTTGCTGATTAAAAAAAAAAAAAAAAAATTGTAAGTTTTGGAATTATGATTTGAAAAGAGAAAATTTATTTGGTTATGAGTTTTGAATTTTTGATGTGACATATGAAATGAGAAAAGTTGTTTGATTATAAGTTTTGAAAAGAATTTTCAAAACTTAATTCAAGAACTTATAATTCATAACCAAACACACAACTCAAAACTCTATTAAAAATTCTACTTAAAATTCATAACCAAACTCTTTTTAAAATTCAATTCAAAAAAATAATTTGTCATTTTGGTTTAAAAAAATAATTTCTATATTTAAAAAATATCAAAACAAAATATAATTTTTTTTTCTCCAAATAACAGGTGGCAATTGGCAATTGGCAATTACAAAAAAAAAAAAAAAAATACTTTTCCATCAATCGGCCGAACGTCAAAGAGGATGTCTGGGCAGACGATCGGGTAGACCAAAAATTTAAAAATTATCTATTTTACCAAATATGTTTTCAAAATATATTTTAAAATTAATTTGAAATCATAATTTAAAAATTTAAACCAAACATAACATTAGAATATAAGAATAAAGTTAATTTAAAAAAAATCTACAACACTGCCGGAATTTTTCCAAATAAGAATAGGAGGTTAATCTTGGTGTACCAGTGACGAAATCAAGGTGGTATCACACCGGGGACAAAAAAAAATTTCACTTTTTGCGACGGTAGGTTTTACACCGTCGCAAATGGAAAGTATTTTGTTCATAAAACGACGCCGTTTAAATTAGAATTTTTTGCGACGGACATTTGCCGTCGCAATATGTAAACTATTTGCAACAACAAACGTATGCCGTCTCAAAACATTTTTTTGGTGACGGTAAAAACATCTGTCGCTAATACTGATGCATTTACTCCCCTATCCGCGCATTTTTTATTACCGACGGGGACAACGCCATCGCTAAAGCCTTCATTTGCGACGGTTTAAGCTGCCATCGCAAAAAACCATTTTTTGCGACGGGACAAGCGCCGTCGCTAATGCTTCCGTGTTTTTTACCCCCTTTTCTTGTAGTGAGTGGCCAAATTGATCAAAATTTTGAAAGTTTGTGTATAAAATTGATATTAATCGAAGTCTGGGGATCAAATTGAAAAAGGGGTAAAAATTTGAGGGGCGAAATGATATTTTCTCTTAAAATTTGGCAACATTTGTCCTGCACTTGATATTTAACAGAATTTATAGCCCATTGATCAGAACTCTTGCACCGTACAAAGAGGTCAAAAGTTCAATACCTCTTACTTGCGCGAGGGTCCTATTCACCTCGCAGTCATTTTGGGTATCTCTTTCTTTCTTTGGGAGTTTATTTGTAGTTCTTTATGTTATAATTATTAATTCAAACTACTTCAACGTTTTGAGAAAAAATGTAATTAAAAAAGGGCACTACAACAAAAAAAGGTTCACACCGTAAAAACCGTTCTATGACATGCAGCGCGCGTCATATTATGACTAGTCATGAAAAGTCATTTATTTTCAATGACATGCTTCGTACGCCATTAAAAACTATTTAACGCAATTTGGCTCCTTGTCTTTTTTCAACTTGTTCATAAGGATCCACCTCCTTGAAAATTTGTCATATCCGAGAGAGACCATTTGCGTACTTCTTCTCCTGCTTGTCCTTTCCGTCGTCTACATATAAGAGTTTTAAAAATTAATTTTTTTTATCTTTAAAAATATAAAGTTTGTTCTAAAAAATATTTAAGGAGTAATTTCAATTATCACGAGGACAAGCGCCAAAAGTCATCTTGAAAAGTAAAAAAATGAGTTTTTAGGAACAAACTTTTAAAAATATCGCTATAAATACATTTTTAGGGACAAAATAATTTGTTCTCAAAGATTTATTTTTTGAGACAAAACTTTTGGTTTTTAAAGGCTAATAATTCATTACTAAATGTCTAATTTAATCACTAAAAATAAAATAGTAACACTTTTTGTAATAAAAATATTTTGTCCGTAAAAAGTAACATTGTTCCTAATTTTTTTTTGTCTCAAATCATAATTTCTTGTAGTGATAACATCCGTAATATACCTGAAACAAAAACTGTAATATACCTGAAACAAATACGGAGAACGCGTATCCAGCGCATCGACTCACTATCCGATATAACAACAGGCAACAACAAACGGCAGGTGAGGAGTAGATACATCATGTAATTTGATAGAGTTTTGCATGTTTCCTTTTCATCATGATGTCCACATGAGTAAGCACTATTTTCGGAAGTGCCTGTAACCGACTCTAAATCTGACTCTGACTTACTAGTATCATCAGAAAAACGGTATAATATATATGTTATGAGGTGCATAATAATAATTTGGTCATGAAAAGCTATAGAGCCAAAAGAACCCCTCAAGACTCCCAAGGTTAATTGAGTTGTCTGCGGCACGATAAATAAATTGTATAATCATAGGATATAGCGTCCGAGGGATACTATGCATGTACCTGTTGAACAAGTCTTGAATCCCCAACCTCCCAAGTATTCTACTCCATTTTGGACGCTTGTCTTCCTCTTCGAATAGATCGATTTGCCCCATCTTTTTAGACCACTTCTTCTTTTCAAAAAACCAAGGAAATTTCTGCCACAATCGGATTGCCCATTTGCCTCTGCCGCACTTAATTAGCCAAATCATCGCCAAATCAGAGAATAATAACAAAATTACTGCTTAAATCTCCAAAGCTAGAGCTCCGACCAATAATACCCCTCTGATGACAATATCAACCATGGAGTAGTGCTGCTCGTGCCACTTCACTTCCATGGCGATAAGCCGGAAGAGTCCTACCAACACAGACACCGTACACATGCAGCTGATAGAGCGAAAAATGCACCCTCTCTTGGTAAATGTTATGGGTGCTTTTGTGTATAATAAATCATACATTAGCCCCATTTCAACCTCCAATACATCCCCCAAACACGTATCATCATCCCGATTCATTTCAGCCAGAAATTTTGGTTCTTCAGATGTCCTATGCGATACTTGGAAACTAAATCTACCAATGTCATAATTCTCTATATAACGTTTAAATTTCTTCACCATCATGTGGGCCATAATTAAAACATTTTTATATCTCTCCTCGTCTTTCATAGAGCCAGCCATTAGATAATAAAAGGGTACAATGTATCCAAATTTATCCTGGCATGCTAACTTAAGAGCCCATGTTCTCTCCCCATACTTAATAATTCCAGCCACGAATGCCGGAATTAACATAAATGAAAACCAGAAATGCCTCCAAGACATAACAATGACATAAATTGCCACAGTAGCTTGAACACCCATGCCCAAAAGATGCCTTATCCACAATTGATTATCTTCCAAAGAATAAGCAGTTATGGTATCTGGGTCACCAAGATGCAATAAAAGCAAGGGTGCCCATAATGTCCGTAATGCATTATTGGGATTAGGAATATTAGTTTGGGCATAAGAGAACTTGCCAAGGGCAACAGTTGCCACCCAATCGGCCATTATGTAGGCCAACCTGACAATCGCATTAATCCATTGTGATGACATATTGCCAAAGACAAAAAAAAAATGATTTGTAAAGTGAGACTAAGTAGAAGCAGCATCCGAATATCCCACACATCCCATAGTATTTTCCACGATGCTGGAATCAGATTCATCACACCCTTCTCTTCTTTATCTACATGGAGAGAAAATTAAGTTACTATAAGTAAACATAGATGGATAAATATGAATTGAACATTGTTATCCAACCTAAAAAATTAGACACACTTTTTTAAATTCAATGATTTGGCACTTAATTAGAATATCTAAAATAACATTCTCTCTTATATCTTCTCTATCATCAACCAATTATCTCAGTTACATATCATTGGGTCTAAAAAGTGAGATTGTATATCATTTTCCATCATGGTAACACATTATAATTGAGAATGAATATTCAAAAATTTCTACAATACAACTCTTTTTTTTTTATTGTGCACCATATGCAAGTTATGATAATTTATGATGTCAATAGTACTACAAAGTGTCTTAACCAAACTACTTTCAGTCAAAACTAAAGAAATCAAAATGGGTCATAACTAAATACCATAATGAATTATAATTAACACCACAATGAATCATAGTCAACATAAAATGAGTCATAATCAAACGCTACTTGCATCATAACTAAAGACTTTTTTAATCATAACCAAAATAACAATCACAATTATAAAAAAAAAAAAAAAAAAAAAAAAAAAAAAAAAAAACACACACACACACACGCACAATAACCACTAACTTTTGCAGATAAAACAAATAACAACCATAATAAATCATAACAAAGTCCTAACCAATACCCTAATAGGTCAAAACCAATATTACAATCGATTATAACCAAACATCACAAAAGTCATAACTGGGCATATGATACACTCCAGGGGTGTAAATTTGGCCTGGACTTGGCCCGGCCCATGTTAGGCCTCACGAGCTCCCGCCAAAATTCGAGTCAAGTCAAAAAATTAGGCCCAGGTTTAGGGGGTATTCGGGCCTTCGGCGGCCTAGGCATAGGGGCTCGGGCTTGGGCGGGCCTGAACATTTTTTTTTATTTTTTTTATTTTTTCTACCAACATACTATTATTTTCCACCAAAAAAGACACTGGGCCTTGGGCGGGCTGGAAGGATCGGGCCTTGAGTGGGCCTTAAGCAGGCCTATGGGTTGGCCCACGGGTCGGGCCAGGCAGGCCGGGCTTCAAAATGATGACCCAGGCCCAAGTCCAGGATCTCGGGCTAGGCTCAAGCCCGGGCCTAAATGGGCCGAGCCCATCCCGGGCCGTAGACGAGGCTTCAGGCCGCCCACAGACTACGGGCCATTTGTATACTCCTTTTTTTGAGGTGTGTTTTCATAGAATTTCCCATTAAAGTGAAGAGAAACGTTATAAACTCATAATTTATGTCTCTCAATTTACTCACAAAGGCATAATAAGAGAATTGGACCTCTTATATGATTGAGTTTGTAATATATTAAAATTGACACATAATCCACCAACTCATTGTGAGACTTAAATTATGAATCTTAATCTTTTTTTCTAAAATGTCCTAATTAGTGTTTTTAACTTTCCTTTCTAGTAGCTAAAAATTTCATTCATATTTTCCATTTAAATAATTTTAAATTATATATAATTAAAATTTTATTTAGACTTTTCTTTTAAATCTCAAAATAGATGTAACATAGATATGGTCAGAATTTTATTTTTGACTTTCCATTTACAAATTTTTAAATTACGAAAAAAGAAGAAGATAGGCCAATAGTTTTATATCATCTATATTTTATGACACGCATTTTAAAATTTTAAAAATAAAATATTGCAGTCTTGGATATTGTTAAAAGACATAGTTAAAATCATATGTATTTTTAAGCACAACACATTTATTTTTTTATGTGACAAAAAAATATGCACAGCACACGTATTTTTTGTTTTAATTTCTCTTTGATTAACAAATCTGCTATAAATATTTTGATGCCTAAATGTTTTTTTAATTCTATAGATGCCACATGAATTGTTTAGTTTCAAAAATAAAAATAGAAAATATTGAAATAAATATTTTTTAAATTTAAAATTATAAAAGACTAATTTCATATTTGGAATTTTTTAAAAATATTTTTAAATTTCAAATTAGAGATGGCTAAATTTCTTTTTTGACTTTCGATATTAAGATTTTTGAATTCCAAAATTATAGATATGGTTAGATGGCCAATATTTCTATGGCATGTGCATTTCTTAAAATTTAAAAATTTAATAAATTTAGATTAATGCTTTGGAGCTCATAGAACATTTTTAGATGAAATGTTTATCTTGGGGGAATTATAGTATAGTAGGATAAAGAAAAAAAAAATACAAAATTATGTGAGGTGTAAGTGATTTTGTGATGGAATACAAGTGAAACATTCTTGTACCCCTCCATATTTATGTAAAAAAAAACTTTTTTATTCCACTGGGATGTAATACCCGTTTCATTTTACTTAATATAAGTATAAGTATGGTACACACTCTTAAAAAGTGCTTACCATATGCACCTTATAATTAAAAAATAAAATGACATAATTTTATATTTTCTGAGTCATAACTTAAAATATATATATATATATATGATAACTAAATACAACATGAGGCATAACTAAAAAACACATAAGTTATAACTAAAATAATGTCATAAATAAAGAAGAAAATAGCATAATTAGAAATGCATATGATACACTCTTTTTAAGGATGTGTAGTTATAAATCGATAGATTATTCAATCAGTAAAATAGATAGAAGGAGCCAACTAACACGAGACAATCCTCTCTCAATATTAATTATATGAGTATTTACTTGTCGAAAAATCAAATACGAGATCTTAAACGGGCTCAGCAACACAGGGAACCGCAACAAGAGATCAGCAAGTAACCCCTTAAGTAAAAAATTTCATTTGAAGCTACCATATAAAGTGTTTCTACATTATTTCGCAAAGTATTTGAACCTCAAAAAACATTTCTCATAAACAACATTGTCAAGGCATTATGAATATAGAGGTAACAATAATGTAGGACAAATCAAGATTAACTTTAAAGAAGTTAGAATCTCACTTGGTGACTCCTGCAATGATATTAAATTCTTATTGTGGCTAACATGTAAACTAAAAAATAGAAGTTAGTCAGTGCCAACTAATTAAAAAGAAAACATATATATTCTTAAAAAGAAGAAAAGAAAAACACTCTTTCATACCTCTATTTTGTAGCCTGTGATGACTTTGAAAACGAAGAAGATCAATGATGATATGGTTGGTACTCCATATTACCTCCCAATCCTTATATTTATACAGAAACAAAGCATGTCAAAGGACAAAAGAAGAGAATAAATTACTTGCTTGCATTTTGGTGTAGGAAAAAAATGAGGAGAGAACAAATTACTTGCTTGCAATCTGATTTAGAGAAAAGGGAGAACAAATTATTTACTTGTTCCTTACATTTATATAGACAAAGAAAGTGTATCAAAGGACAAAGAAGAAAAATAAAAACAAAACAATTTACTAGCTTGGAATCTAGTTTAGAAAACAAAAGCGAATTTAACCAGCCACATGGTGTTTAAAATTTGGCAACATTTGTCCTACACTTGACAGTTAACAGTATTTAGCCCATTGACCAGAACTCTTGCACTTTACTAAGAGATCAAGAGTTTGATACCTCCAACCTACGTGAGGGTCCTATTCGCCTTGCAATCGTTTTGGGTATCTCTTTCTTTCTTTGTGAGTTTATTTGTAGTTCTCTATGTTATAATTGTTAATTCAAACTACTTCAATGTTTTGAGAAAAAATGTAATTAAAAAAGGGTTAAACACTAATGATCTTCAAAGGATACGTTATACTATATTTTAGTCCCAATTTTTAATTGTTCCATTTTTGTTCTCAAATTATGTGATTTGTTACACTTTAATCCCTAACGTTAATGCCATTCAAAATTAATAACACAAAAGAAGTATTTTTTAAAAAATTTATGAAATGCATCAAGTTCTAATTTTTTTGGTTAGTATTTTTTTTGTAAGAAGCATTAATGGAATAATATGGATTAAAGTTTAAAAATTAAGGGAAATGAAACTGATTAGGTTGTGATCTTATACTCCGTTTGTTTGGGCGGAAAATATTTTTTTATAGAAAAATTTTTTCAGAAAATATTTTCTAGAGAAAACATTTTTCTATATTTAAAGGTGGTGGTGGTAAAACAAAGGTGGAGATAGAGGTGGTGGCATGGTGGTGGGGCATTGACAACGGTAATGGTGGCAGTAGCTGTGGCCGTGGTGATCGTGGTGTGGTGGTGGAGGTGAGGTGACAGTGGTAGTGTGGAGGCATTGGTAAGATTTTAATCCGGAAAATATTTTCTAACTTTTAAAAGTAAAAAATATTTGTTGTCCATATAGACTTATTTTCTGTTAACCATAGAAAATATTTTTCATCAACTTTTATTTTCTATTATTTCAAATACTAAAAAATACAAAAAAATATTTTGTATAAAATGTTTTCCGACCAAACTCAAAAGGCTGCGTGCCATTTCTTTTGATAGGTTTGGGGGATGTTGAATTGATGTGCCCAACCTTTCGTGAGGTCAAGGCAAATTAGGTTTTTTTAATATTTAAAAAACTTTTATTAATTTTTATATTATGAAATATTTTATGAAAATTATATGTTTAATTCTTGTAAGGGTAAATTACACCGGTGGGCTTTACATTTTTCCCCTTATGTCATTTTGATTCTTACACTTTCAATTAATAAAATTTTGACCCTTAATTTTAAATTTTGTGTCAATTTGATTCAATTGATAATATCGTTAATGTTTTTGATTGAAAATAATTACTGAATTGGTTGAGATAACTTACTGAGTTTAGTAAATTTATAATTTTACTCTAAAAAATATGACACATACCACTTATATGCATATTTTTCATAAAGCAATATTAAGAGTTGTAATCAATTGGATTAAATTGAAACAAAATCATAAATTCATAATCAAAATCGAATCAATTGAAATTATAATAATCAAAATGACACAAGAACCAAAATACATAAATCACTGTCGCAATTTCTCATTGTTGTAATTAAAATTCTAAGGGTTAATATTGGGATCTCTTTTGGGTAATTATTTTTTTAGTTGAGCTTTGAATATGAAGTTTTTATTTATTGATCTTCAGAAAAGGAGGGTTTTTTCTTTTATTTTTTATTTTTTATTATGTATCATTACTCGAAGAATAAAATTCTTTTCTGGGCTTGTTGATAAAGAATATTTTTCTCAATTTTTACAATTGAAGACTTTTGGACAAAGATTATTTGGCTGGGCCTTGATTATAAAAAAAAAAAAATTCTTAGGGCTTGTTTCACGCTCAAATCAATTTTTGGGCTCTCAAAATCAAAAATTGTTTGGTTTTATAATTTTTTCAAAATTGTTTTTAATCAATTTTTGTATCTCCTCTTTCCTTCTCTCACATTTTACACAACAATTAATCAGTTTTTTCTCTCTCTCCTCTATTGCATCATTCACATTAATCAATCACGTTTCTCTCGCACTCATCCATTCATTTACCAAAAAATTACAAATCATCCCAAATTACAAAACTATCTTCTATCTATACAGGAGTGCAAAAATGGCCCACGGCCCGTAGGTAGCTCGAAGCCCGCCCATAGCCTGGAGTGGGCCTGGCCCGGTTGGGCTTGTTTTGGCCTAGGCCTAAACCCAGCCCAAGACCCTAGGCCTGGACCATCATTTTGAAGTCTGGCCTGCCCGAGGTCCAGTGTCTTTTTTAGTGAAAAATAATAAAATTTTGGTAGAAAATTTTTTAAAAAAAATGTGGCCCGACCCACCGGTCCGAATACCCCCTAGGTCTGGGCCTACTTTTCTGGCTTGTGGCCCGGCTCGGCCCAAATTTTGATGGGAGCTGGCGAGGCCCAACATGGGCCGAACCAAATTTACACCCCTATCTATACTATTATTAAGTGAAGGTCTCAATTAGTGTAATGAAACCTTACTCTCTTCATGCCATGTGATAGTGTTTTATATAAATATTGTTTTTCACTTATAAAAAATTACACAAAAATCTTCATACCATGTGGCAGTGTTTTATATAAATAGTTGGTGTTGTGAAACCTTATTCTCCTCATGTGACGTGATAGTGTTTTATATAAATAGTGTTTTTTATTTATAAAAAAACTAAATAAAGAGGTGGGCAAGATTTGAACCCATGATCATCATAAGTTTAAGATAAGAGAACTTATACCACTTAAGCTAAGTACATATTATAACATTAATTTCATTATTACTTTCTTTTATTCTGACTAACTAGCATATCATCTGTGCTATGCATGAGATAAAATAATATATTATTTATTAAAATAGGATAATTATATTTAATTTTTCAATATTTTGTTTCTCATAAATAATATTTTATATATAAGTTTAAGAATTTTGTTTCAAATGTTCCTTTATTATAATATATATCATAGATAGATTAAAATTGTTGTATTGATAATTAATAATTAAAATTATGCTTTGTTATAAAAAAAAAATAACATAGTTCTAATACTTCACTATTTTAGAATAAAAATATATGAATTTAAAAAAATTGTCATATTGGTTTTTGAAAGGGAAATAATTAAAGAAATTTCAAAAATTTAATGAGTAAGAAAGAATCATCGTAACATGTAAAACCGCTAAAATCTTGGATAAATCAACAAATCATTCAAACCAAAAACGGTTTAGCTTAATCAATTAAGTCAAAAAAATAACTAACTTACACAAAAATTAATTAATTAAAACTTTTAATTTTTTTTATTAAAATTTAAACTATCACTAAATATGAAAAGCAATCTATTAATTTAAATTTAAAATTGACACAATATAAATTTAAAATTATAATAATTTATCCCATAATTTAGAAGTTTTTAATACAAATTTAAAATGATCATAATTATCTCATAATTTTTGTATTAAGGAGCAGTCAGAGTGACGTCAAGATTATTAATATACCAATATATTTTACAAAAGAATACTTTTAAGGAGAGATATTATAAGAATTTCAAAATCTCATGCAATATTATTTTGAAAATCAAAACCTCTATGTAGAATTGTTAAATAAAAGTTAAATGGAAGTTAGTCAATGAAAATTTTTTTAATTATTTAAAATTATGAAAAAAATTAGTATGAGATATTGATCATAAGATTTCTCACTAAAAATCTCATTTTGCTTATATAAATGGAAACATAAGATTCACTTTATGTAAAATAATTCACTTTTTTCTTCTTTTTTTGATTTGAGATTGTAGAATAAAAGTTAAGTGGAAGTTAACCAATGGGAATTTTCTTAATTGTTTAAAATTAAAAAAATTCAATAATTTATATAAATGGGGGCATAAAGTTCACTTTATGTAAGTAAAACAATTCACTTTTTTTTTTCTTTTTTCGATGTGTGATTGTAAGATAAAAGTTAAATGAAAGCTAGGCAATTTTCTTAATTGTTTAAAATTAAAAAAAATTCAATAATTTTAGAATAAGGGTTTGGAGCTCCTAAAAAGCTTCTCTCTAAAAAACTCATTTCCCTTATATAATGTAAGTGAAATAACTCAATTCTTCATTATTTTCCCGATGTGGGATAGTGTAAAATAAAAGTTAACAATTATTTGGACGAGAATTTTTTTCGAATCAAGCAATTTTAGCCGTTTAATATTTAATTAGGTCAATCTTTAATTTATTTCAAATCAAACAAATCTAACCAATATATTTTGATAAAACTACTAAAATTGCGATTCAACCAGCGAATCAGTCAAGCCAAAAACGGTTCACCCTATGGGCTAAGTCAAAAGACCAACCAACTTATACAAAAATTAATTAGTTAAAACTTTTAAATTTTATTATTTTAATTTTAAAATTTAAACTATTTTGAACTGAAACATACACAACACTACAATATTAAATGGAATATAATGTTTATATAGTGAAACAAATCATTTTTCCTCCTATTTTTGATGTGGAGTTGTAAAATAAAAGTTAACAATTGTTTGGACGGGAAGTTCATTTTTAATCAAGCAATTTCAGTCATTCTATTTTTAATCAGGTCAATCTTAATTTATTTCAAATCAAACAAACCTAAAAAATATATTTTGATAAAACAGTTAAAACCGCGGTTAAACCAGTGAATTAGTCAAACCAAAAATGATTCAACATAATCGGTTAAGTCAAATGACCAACTAAGTTACAACAAAATTAAATAATTAAAGCTTTTAAATTTT